TGAATGGCAAATATGATGATGTGCTTTGCAAGCTTATGTGGCAAGCCATTGCTAGGAAATCGGCGTGGAAATTGAAAATCCTTACGCCATAAATGCTGCAAAGCTGAGCGGGCCGGGATATCGGACTGTCTTCGTACCGATAATGAACAAACTGGCAGGAGCAGGTGCATTTAGTCAGGGGGCCGAATGCCTAGACCATGATGATGGGAAATTGCAAGTGTGTACATCTAATGGTTAAAATGCAATGAGCGTAAAAAGCAAAAACGTGCGTGCGCGGACTACTGGAGAAATGCAGCCTGAATGTGGAGCTATCTTCTTGCCAATAATAAGCAGATTCGTGGCTGGTAGGTGTGTATATGTGCGAACCGATCAGGTGGAATTAAACGGCACAAATGAGCATGTGTTTTTGCGAGCTTATATTCCGCAAAGCCAAGCCAACATTTAATCAGTGTTGTAAATGAATACACCTACACAGAAGTTCGCGTACTGGGGATAGGAATGTGGTCCCCAACTTTCTTAAAATTTTACATTTACCCACTGGGCCTCGACTGGAAGAGAAGTAACCAAAATGCTTACCCCGGAACTTAGGAGAACTTCTGTTGTCACTGCCCCTATGTGGCAGCCGGCCAGCATCCACGCTAGTCACTGATGGTTAAATTGGTTTTTCTCTAGGTTAAATGGCCTTGTGACGGAAATACCATAATAACCAAGAAAAACCATCTCCTGCTACCAGGCACAAATGTTGTCGCGAAAGGCTGGGCAGGTGGGGACCGACGTCAAAACAAGCCATCCATGAAACAGTTCCACACAGATGTGCATGTTGCCCAGTTTTCGTTTGGATGTGCTGTCCATTTTTTTGCCCATTCACCCCTTTATGTGGGCTTTCTGCCCAAACAAACCATGCTCAGTAGTTGGAGTAAATTGGAGCGCACTGACCCTGATATGAAAACACGCAGATATTCGTCAGTTGTACAGTGGACGGGCTGTTCTTGCAAAATGAAGTTATCACAGGCATATAGGTACTACTCTGCATCCCAGTTTGGCTATCCATAATTTTAACCTGCATACCACTTAGATGTTAAAGCAGAGCGACCACATGCACGCCTAAAGAACGCAACACACGCGGCTCGACACTCACGGTGACTAGCAGACAGATAAGGACCGAGTAGTGTCGGCGCCGCGCACAGGTACGGACCGAGTGCGGCCGGCCCCGTTAACAGTAACGTGCCGAGCACGGCAGAATGTTGATAGGCACGGACGGAGAACGGGGCATCTGTCACATCCGGTGCAAAAAGAGAGAGAGAGATAAATAGAGAGGAGAGAGAAGAGAGAGAGGAGAGAGAGAGAGAGAAGAGAGAAGAGAGAGAAGAGAGAGAGAGAGAGAGAGAGAGAGAGAGAAGAGAGAGAGAGAGAGAGAGAGAGAGGAGAGAGAGAGAGAGAGAGGAGAGAGAGAGAGAGAGAGAGAGAGAGAGAGAGATATAGAGAGAGAGAGAGAGAGAGAGAGAGAGAGAGAGAGAGATATATATATATATATATATATATATATATATATATATATATATATATATATATATACAGCAGACAACACACTCGCCGCGCTGGACCACCCACTCACGCCACCGTCGGCGGCAAGACCACGGGGTGCGAGGACTGTGCAAGATCGAAGTGCGTTTGCAATGACATGCCGCTTAAGGTTGCCATGTACATCGCACTTGTCGCTCGCCGTATTTTACGCAATCGGCTAGCTGGTCATATAAATCTTCTACTCAAATTTAGTTCGTTATCTAAGTAGAGACAGACCGATGTTCTCGTTGCCTTGTGACCATTAAGTATCGTTTGTGCGATCTTGCTTTGCAAGCCTTTGCGATTTAATAGTTAACCACACAGGCTTGCCAAACCTGTAACTTCATGTTTGTGATGAAGTTTTGTGTAAGCGACTCGCTGGTCATATGCATCTCCCGCTTACAGCTTTTCCACCATATGTGCAAGCATTTCAGTGTTCCGGCTGCCTCTCAGCACTGATTCTATCACAGAAAGTCGAAAATCGGGTTTGGCGAATGCCTTTTTGTCGACTGATTATGAGCGGCTGCGGAATGGGGGCGTGTAGAAAAGGGCGACGCGCAAAAAGTCGAAACGCCTAAATGGCGAACTGCAAAAAGGCAAAATATAACACAACTGTCATGACAAAATGGCGAGTGGCTTAATGGCGAACTGCAAAATGGCGACCTGTAAGAAATGTGAGCAAAACGAGAATAGCGGCCTTTGCAAAATATCGATCTTATACTAGTGAACGGCTAAGCATCGAAATACAGAAGGGTCACTATTTGAATATGGTGTTGGTGGTGGTTAATGGTGACATGACAAACGTTTCCCATCATATCTGAAGCTTGTCTCAGCATGCTCAAATGTGAAACACTTGTAAGCAGCTTACCATTTAGCCGTTGACCAACTTGGTATGTTGTCTTCTTTGCTTGTCACTGTTTTGCAGTTCGACATTCAAGCTTTTCGACGTAATGATGTGCCGCCATTTTTTTGCAGCTCGTCATTGAGCCTTCCTCAATTTTGGCATGTCTTCATTCCTCCAAGTCGCCATTTTGCAGTTGCAGTTCGCCATTTTCTCGAAGTTAAGGTACGTCGATATGTCACATATTCCTAATTTGGAGGTCGCTATAGGGCAGTCAAAAAAGGCATTCGGCAAACTGCGGGTCGACTTTTTGTGCGGACGCCCTTAACACCACGTCGCCCTCAAACAGCCCACCGCGCATTGAAGTTCTAGCACCAGTGACGTCACGCTAAGTCAAGGAAGATGAGGTGAGAATCACCGGTTAGTTTTGCCTCTCGTTTGCGGCCTTGGTTCAGAGTGGTTCAGTAATCAGATCTCTTTTAGGACGGTGGCGCGCTGCCTTGGGCGGGTTGATGTTAGACTGTTTTCAGTTGTTCAGGTGAACTGAGGATTCGGATTAGTCTTAAAGAACACGTATTTTTAAATCTCTCGAGCGATGCCTCACGTTTTTAGCCCTCAAAGCCTAGAAGACTTGTGCTTCAAAAACATTGGACACAACATGGACGATTTGTGGTGCAAAGACTACAATGAGAATTTCCATGGCAAGGGGGAATACTTATATCTACTTGGCCCATTTTCTAACCTCCGTGAGTATATACAAATATATTTCAATTGATGGCAGTGTTTTGATGTGTTGGCTCATTTGTTGCATTGTCATGGTGGATATGCTCGCAAATGTCATGTGCTTACAATATCCTATATACTTGAAATAAAAATCTCCAAAAGTGCATTTGATCTCAAAGAAGCACATTGCTCATTTTATGATATTGCCGAACCCTGTTGCCAAGCGCTGTGGGTTGCACAAGCAAAGTTACAAAGAGCAGAAAAAATGCTCCCAAAGCATGGGACAGATTTCAAACATCTCAAAGGCACTATTTTAGGGAGAGAAGAAATATGTGAGAGTCAGGTAATGCAGGACATATTGTTTTGGATCTGTCATGGTAAGGAAATGCCTTTGAGCAAGGTCTGGAAAGGCCCAGGCCAGAGTGTTATCTTGTAAAATTGAAGTCAAAATATCTCATAGTTAAGTGCCATGCTATTTTTCAATTGCTTGGGCCTATCACCCTTGGGCCAAGCAACAGCTCTTATGGATTGTACATGGTAGTTGAGCCCTGATCAATTCACATGGTGACAATTTTCCATCACCATGGGAACCCATGCATATCAGAAGATAGACTGGACCTCCATGGCCCTCTTGAGTGAAGTGGGAATTTAAAGTATAACATCCAAGTGAGTATGCATCAGATGTGTTCCTTTGTTGATGCAAATCCATTTTTTATTTTACCCTATTCATAGCAAAATGCTGATGAGGCTCATAATATATGGCAGTGAACTATACCAAGGTAACTCTGACATGCCTCACAGTTTCAAAGTGTCTCAATGACATTTTCAGGCAGAAATCTGTAGTTCCATTGGATTGTACAGTCTGCTACACTTGCATTTGAGGAAAATGAAGAGTTTTGGTACTTACTGTGCATGGTAATGCTGATGCTTACCCACATATAACTTGAGCCAGGAATAGGTTTTGGGTGCCATTTTATCTTAAGGGATATGTTGACTTATGGAACATGCTCTTATTGGGTTTTGTCAGAAATAGTAGAATAGTGGTGAAAGCAGCATAGCTACCCAATGTTCATAGATAATCCGCTACCCTGTCACTAAAAACTATACTTCACAGGCTTCAAGAAATAATATCTTGTTTCATGGTCGTGCCAGCTGGATAGGTTTACCTCAGGCAGTAAAATATATATGTGGCTCAGAATATACAAGGCCCATTATTTGTAGACAGATGTGATCAGTGACATGTGCATAGTTGTGTGTTGCCAAATCAGGTTTTGTGTGCGTCAGTGTCCAGCCTTTTTGTTTTTAGAACATGATCTTTACTGAGTTTGCAAGTGTGTGGCATGAATTGCAGATCTGTAGCAGAAAGTGTTTTGGTATGCTTTAGCTTACACCTGCACATAATCACTGTTCCATACAGTGTTTTTGGTTTGATTTGCTTCACACCGGAACAGAATCACTCCGTTACATACATGATGATCCCAGAAATGTAAGTTACTGTACACAGCAAGACTCAAGAAACAGGTGCTCTTGGCTTTTACTGAGCAAGCCTTTGCTTTTTGCTTTTTACTCTGCAGCAGCTTACACTATCACACCAACAAATTTATGGCATTGTCAAATTTGTGGTAGTCTGTAGTTGATAGTTGAAGTTGAAGTAGTTGGTAGTTGTACCAACTTGAACCAAGTTGTACCAAGTTGTTGTGAAGTTGTGCCTGTAGTTGATAGTTGAAGTCTGTACTCTGGTCTTCATCTACATGTCAACCTTCATCACTGTACTGCATGGCAGTTGCTCAGGAGCATGAAGCCTGGCCTGACATGTGAAGCTGCTGTCTCACAGCCGGCCTCCTCCTGAGCAAGCTGATCCTGGTACCTGAAGATGCATGGCCTGCTGAAGATTGGGCATCTTCAGCTGCTGCTAGACTTCAGCCTGGTGGACCTGGACCTGTCCCATGTGAGCAAGAACATGGGCACCGTCATGAACACAATCGTCAATAGGTGTGTGGTGAGTTGATGCTTATGTGTGCCTGATCAGGCCATACAGGTCCATATTGGGGTGTTCCAGGATGGATGGGCAGGTGCCTCACACCCTTATGTCTCAGGTTTGGCCAAAGCTTTGTTATTGGGGTAATCAGCAGCACTGAACATGCCATGCCATTATTATGATGTCACTCATTTCAGCCTTTTTGGATTTATACTTGCCAGGAGTTTTGTGATGCATTGTTGGAAGGGTGTATGTTGGTAGTTGTGATTTGAGATTGAGCCACAGATCCACAATTGAAATTGATCATGATACCAATACATGATAATAATCCACTCATGGACAGAAACTAGGCAAATTTGGGTACCAATGGGTGCAGAGAAAGTAAAATGAGTGTGTATGGGGCACCTGCTAGCTCACAATGCTGAATAAGATATAATGAAATCAAGCCAGACATTTTTAAAAAGTTCATGCTGATATTTTGCCTGTCATGTTTGATGTATTTCTCTATTACATATGACAGATGGTCTCTTGAATATATATGCACAACATAAAGGGGCAGCATCTGTCACATCAAGCTGCCACACAAGCACTTCCACATGGCACCAAGATCAAAGTCAATCCTTCGCGACATCACCTGGCCCTCATCCGCGGCGTGGTGCCGCGCGGCTCCAGGTGCCCGGCGTTTCACGTCGGGGCGAGGGGTGGGGGAGGGACGGACTACGCAGGGGTGCTGCGAGGCAGAGAGAGGATGGCCTACGTTGTGCGACATTGTCGCCCGTAAGGCTTGGGAGTGCAGCGAGAGCGAGGGCGATGTTGTTTGTTGAAGCCCGCACATCTATGTGAGTGTAGCTGCAAAGCCGAGACCTCTCTCCGTCCACATGTTGGCTCTGGACGCGCTGACCGGGCCTGTGTTGCGGCTGATGTTGTTTGTTGACGCCGATACTGCTTCTGACGTTTGTGGACGCTGCTACCTGCTTCTGGTGTTCGTGGACGTCGATACTGCTTTTGATGTTTGTGGACGCTGATATTGCGTGTGATGTTGGCCCTGGATGCTGATATTGTTTCTGATGTTGCTTGTGGACGCCCTGGCCAGCACCTGCGCCATCTGGACCTGTCCGGCAACGTGAAGCTGCCGCTTCAGGGCCAGATCGCGCTCTTCTCCACGGCCCGCCAGCTGGAGAGCATCAACCTGGCCAGCACCAACACCTCGGACCGCGTCATGTCCGTGATCGGCGCCTACTGCCTCCAGCTCAGGTCCGAACACACGCGCCGGGCGCCGCCGATGCGGTCTGGGCCGCCGGAGGGTGTGCTATGTGTGACATGGCTAGCTAGGTTTGGGTCAGCATCCAGACAAGGGAATGCTGTAGCTACATCCTCCATGTCTTCCCCAACCAAACCACGCAGTTGTACGCACGTGCATGCGCAACTGTCGTGCGACTTTGCCGTGTTTGAAGCTTAGTAGCCTGGTGCACAGGCTCATGAAGCTATCATTTCTCCACTGATATGTTTTAAAACACAGACCAAGCGAGGTAACACTGTATCCTGCTTGCTGTGGTGAACCGATTTCATGGATGGTTCAAATGCTATCAAAACTGTATCCGTTGCGCGGCCGTTGAGCGTTGATCCCCGACCGACCACCACCTGGCGCACGGCTGCCTGTGTCCTGTGTCGGTGGAGTCATCGAGGCCGGTCTGTGTGGCGGACAGGGAGCTGAACGTGGCGCAGTCGGGCGTGACGGACCTGGGCCTCACCTCCCTGAGCACGGCCGCCCTCTCCGAGTCCAGCGGCGCCGGCGCCTCCATCGTCTCCCTCAACGTGGACGGCTGCAGCGTCTCGGCACAGTCGGCCTACGCCGTCCTCAACACCATGCCCAACATCACCAGGTGAGCTGTTCCGCATGTGTGACGTCATTCGTCGATGACGCGAGCAGTGTGGAGCGGTCTCTGTGTAGCGCCATCAGGGGAGATACCCCAACAGCATTCGAACATAACACGCTAAGGGCCCCAACGGAATGCCTGCCTCCGTGTTGCAGCAGGTGTATAGTATACATATGGCGGCGAGATTATAATGTAGCGGGCTGAGACTCGCAGACGTGCGGAGGTCGGCTCCGGCGCTGACCGGGCGACCGTCCCTGCCTTGCAGTCTGCATCACCCGGAGACGGTGGTGGGCGTCGAGCAGCTGCTGCTGCGCCGGCCGGAGCGAGCGCCGCTGGCCCTCACCGAGCTGCACGGCTCGTCGGCCGCCGGCCTGGAGGTGGCGGCGCCCGGCTGCCCGGCCGTCGAGCTGCTACAGCTCGAGCTGGATGGCGACGAGAGCGTGGAGCCAGCCGGCCAAGCTGGCGCGGCTGTCGCGGCTGGCGCTGAGCGTGCCGGCCACGCCCTGCACCGGCCTGGTGGCGCTGCTGGCGGCGCGCGGCGCCGGCCTGACCGAGCTGGCTCTGACGGCCGGTGCAAGGAGCTGTCTGCCGGCCTGCTGCTGCGCTGCTGCCCGGCGCTGCGCCGGCTCGAGCTGCTGTTCTGCACGTTCGTGGAGGAGGGGGAGGAGGAGGCGCCGCCGGCCCGGCTGGGGCCGCCGCTCTCGCATCTGGAGCGGTTCTGGCTGCTGCAGGAGCCGGAGCGGCCGGCGCCGGCGGCGCTGCTGGAGCGCGTGCTGGCCGCGCCGCAGCTGTCGCACGTCTGCCTGCAGCACTGCGCAGCGCTTGACAGACGCTGCTGCTGGAGCGGACGCTGGACGCCGGCGGCCTGAGCCGGCTGCGCAGGCTCAGCCTGGAGAGCTGTGACGAGTTCAGTCTGGACTCGGCGCTCCGGCTGGTGGTGCAGTGCACGCTGCTGGAGGAGCTCGGGGTGCGCCGGTGCCGCGGCGTTTCGCGGCGCGACGCGGCCGAGCTGCGCCGCACCGTGGCGGAAAACGGCTGGCGGCTGACCATCGACTGGCTCTGAGTGGCGGCGGCCCTCTGGCCTGGCCCCCCACCCGCGCGGCGCCGGCGGCGGTGCTCGCTGCGGTACTCGGGAGTCCGCCGGCGTACAGCCGACGGCGGGCGTTCCTCCCGGCGGCTCCGACTGGTGCTGTAGTGTAACGACCGTGTCGACAGGTGTTGGCGGCTGATGGTAGCAATTGTTGACAGCCTACGCCACTCTTGAAGGCATCGGGCCGGTACACCGTGCAGTTAGTAGTGTAGAAAGCCAGTGAAAGCGTTTGTGGGCAAGTGGGCAACAACACATGACTGAGGCTATCGTGCTATTGCTGATGTTTGTTAATAGTTGTTTTGCCCACTCGTGGGTGTCGTGTGATATATTTTTGAAGACAACCCGTGTTTTTACCCCACAAACATGAATGACTAACACGGTGCTACTTACCCCCTCTGTCGACGTTATGATTGCATATTGTTGTGTTGTGCTATGCATAGCGCCTCCATTGTCCGTGTTGCTATCGGCAGCGGTCCTGATAATAATCATCTCATCTCGCATCCTCGGTGTTCGCCTGTTTTTGCGTGTGTCCTCGCCATGTCACGCTCCTGCCGGTGAGCGTCGCAGCAGTGGAGCGCCGCGCGGCCGACGCCGGTGTACGCCGGCGGCGGCGTGCGCGGCTGGCCTCCCACCAACATCGGGACCGACAGGACCCGATGCTGCTCAACTGGCGCACAGGCTCCACTTTCTGGTGGGTAGCTTTTCCAAGCGGTTTTAGGTCGGCAAATAGGAAGCTCGCACAAATGGCTATAGCCATTACGAGAGTGAGTGCTTGGCTGTGGAGTTTCAGTTTGGCGCTGTGCGACATACTCGTTCGCTGCCCTCCAGCTGATATTATCGTGTTTGGTCTTCTACTGTAAAAATGACAGAAGCAATACATATCACAACCGGAACGCCCTGTGTCCTCGTTGAGGGGTCCCAATAACGTTTGAAGTGGCCTTAAACATGCACCTTACCTTCCGTGGTGCCAGTCCGTAACCGTATCTGGCGATGATATGGGACTGACAGACTCGCTCAGGTATCGCTGGGTGGTGGAGTTGGCTAACCTGTCAAGTTTGGAGCTGTCCAGCTTGTTATTTCGCTCCCCTCCCCAGAGCATACCGGTGCCTTCTATTCAGTGGTGGTTTGGAGTCCGCGATCAGTTTACCGGCCGATGCCAAGGTTCTGTCCCAGCCAGTAGAGGTTGGCCTCCGAACAACTCCCAAAAATGGAGATCGCATGAGTTGGAAGAGTAGGACTGAACCCATCAGGGGCATCACTAATGGATAGAGGGGTGAAGCCGTGCTCCAGGGTGCCGCGGTTGGAAAGTCATTTTCTTCACCTTCCCTCCTGGAGCCTTGTTGTGGGTTTCCAGTTCCAACGACAGCCTTTTTGTTCTTGTGTTGGCCCAAACAAATCGCCTCGTCTCACTCCCAGCACAAGTTTCTCTTCTCCCCATGAGCTTGGCCTGCCCTCCCGGGCATCAGATCCTAGCGACGCCCCTGCGACCCCCCCGCCCGCCCCACCCACCGTCATACCACTGCCAGTGGCCTTCACCTTCAAACTACCGACTTTCGTTTCAAGGCCTCTACTCTGGATCCCTAGCAAAGTTGTGCATGACTCTCGCTAGAGTATGAATCGGTCTGGGGGCCAACCAGTTGAGCTGGGGGAAATCCCCACCCTTTAATACGCGCGCGGGATTCGACGTCGACGTTGAGTCAACGTAGTTACGAGGAAGTGTACCCAAACACAAATGTAGGGATGAATTGCCCAAATCTTTGCATGCATCATATATATATATATGACTATCCATGTCACTAAGCTGAAGACGTGGAAGTCATTTTACGTCCGTTGAAAGTCCGGTCAAATCCTGTTGCCTGCGCGGGTAACGGGTACACCCTAGCGGGGATTAATCCAGCCGCGTCAGGTCTGGCTTCATAAGTTATGTTAGGTCAGATGCTGATGGATGCATCCGTCTTTACCGGAACGAATATATTTTATTATATCGAGACCCTTCCGAGCGCGCTCCTAGCAGCAGCGCATATAATTGTAACTGCATAATAGGTTAATCTGTATAGTGGGGTCCTCGGTTGTGTTTCACGTGCGCGGCTCTGAAGCTCGTCATGATTGGGGTGACGAGGTTGCCGGCGAACATTCATCAGTGCGATGAGTAATAACCTAACGGCGATGCTTTCGGCGTCCTCCATACCCATAGGTACTGTATCATAGTTACTGTCGCGTGTGCTGTGGGCAGTTCTATGATGATGAAAACATCTCCGACTCAATAAGTCAACCAAAATGTGCAGTCCCCGGCGCCACACCACACTCACTATTGCCATCGTTCCCTCCTCGCCTCACATCCCAGGGCCTTACTACGCCCGCTCGAAGATCTCTCATTCCAAACGGGCAATAGCATTTATTAGCGAGCTTCACGGAATGTATACAATGACAGCGGTGTGACGTGCTAACGTTCGAAATCCCTCACGAAAAACACAGCGGCGACGTGACCCGCGCGGTGGTGGCACGGGTGCCTCCGCCCGTAACACACGCAGACCGGCAACACGAGATCAGCGAGAGCCGACGCGAGAGAACGCGTCTCATGAGACCACCGGTCAGGTCGGGCCTGCCGGCGGCCGGGGGACGGCTGACGGGCACTACTTGAAGGCGTAGCCCTGCTGCCCCGTGCCGGCCCACGTGCCGACGAAGCGGAGCACATCCGTCAGCTCCACACTGTTGGTCATCTTGGCCGTCATCACCAGCGAGTTCCAGTCGTCCTTGTTGGCCACCTGGCGGCGGGCGGGCGAACGACGCGTCAGGGGCGCCCGCCAGCAGCGTGACGTCACGGGGTCTGGTCGGTAGCCAATGCTGCAGCGTCAGCTGGGCTGAGATCAGCTCTTGCCCGCACGGAAACCAGCACATTTGTACAATGAAAACCGCGGACTGCCACAAGTCGCATGCTCGTGGACAGTGCACACTGCAGGCACAATGAATCACCAGCACCGGACATTGCGTACAATTCTGTTCAATTTTTTAGAAAAAACCTGGCCGAATATCTACCACCCCAGCTATCCCCTTGAGGTGGTTTTCGGTTCAGAACCCACAATAGCCATGGCGTGGCGCGGACCCCCCTCGAATTGTTTTATCAATAAATCACCGCACGTGTCACAAAACGGTGCGAGTGTGACTCGACTTCCCCCGCCTCAGCTTGTCCGTCAGGATCAGTTACCGACTGACCGCCAAAGACGAGTAACACATGCGCCACATGCGAGTCATACACGGTCCCGCTGACCTACCGCCATGGGTCAGCGCCAGGTCAGAGTGCCCCTACGCTCCAGTAACTACGCTACACGAGCGGCTGGCTAGTGAGGACCCGGCCGACCGTGCTCCACGGCGCCCGTTGCACAATCCGAACTGGCGTGGACGGCGGCTTCGTACGCCAGAGCCAGCCGGTGGACACGGCGGCACGCTGACGACAGGAGGCGTGAGCGCCCGCTGTCACCCGCCATCGTTAGCGAGAGCTCGAGCGAGGCCGGAGCGGCGGCCGAGCGGTCCCCGACTCGACGACTGGCACCCCTTACCTTGCCGTACTGGAACTCCATCTTGTTCTTGAGTACCGGGTAGCCGGTGACGACGCACGGCGGCGACTTGCTGCCGTCCGGGTTGAGGAGGCTGGCGGCGTAGCAGCCGCGCTCGTCCTGCGGCAGCTCCTGCCGGCCACAGGGGCGCCGGCCCGGCAAGTCAGTACAGCCCGGCCGACGCAGTGACACGCGCGGGACACCACACAGCGGCTTCAGGTTCGCAAGGCGAGAGCGGGCTTACGGCCCGGTGCGACCGCTAGACCGCGAAGCTGGGTCACACAGTCGGCGCTGCCCAACCGCCCACCCCAGCTCAGACTCACGGCGCGCTGCAGTCAGCTTTGCCAACGGCGGCGTCATGGACGAGACGGCCCGCGCTCGCCGGTGGTGGACCCGGCCGGGCACCGGGCGCCGCAGCGGAGGTGGCGCCCGCCGCCGGCCGCCGGCCGGGCCGCTCCTCACCTGCTCCACCGACTGGTCCATGCTGACGGCCAGCACCCACTCCTTGGCGCTCTCGGTGTCGCCCTGCTCGACGTTGGCCTTGGGCGGCAGCGGGATCTCGAACGGCACGTCCGTGTTGGCGAAGTCGCTGTGGTCGATGGTGTCGAGCGAGCCCTCCTCGATGGCCTCGCACAGGTCCAGGAAGTGGTTCCAGCAGACGAACGCCATAGTTCTCCCAGCCCACCTTCTGCGCACCACCGGACAACACACGTGGGCTCAGATTGGCCGGACTCAGACGGACTTGGCGCAGCACAGACGGGTCTGGCGCAGTGACGGCGACTGACGACACTTTATAATCGAAAGGCTTTTGCTCAGTTACGGCAAGACGCAGTGCAGCAGCCATTTGATCAGTGCAGCGAACATTACATCGCAGACGGGTTAGATTTCAACCTGGCGGGCCACAGCAGAACAGACCTGCAGGCGAGGTCCTCATCAGTGATCAGGCCAACGGATATTGGAATATGAGTGGCATCATGACATCTGCCCACACATAGGTACCGTAGCACGCTGCCCACTAGTACCATCACCAACATAATTTGGGAGTCACTCGCAAGTTTCACATGGTTAACAATATACACACAGAAGGGAACCACGGACCACAACATGACCATCAGCGAATTCGCTGCACCTCCACATTCGCCAGGCATGTGCGACCCACGAGAAGATGCACCTCTGAGCGTACCACGCCACACGAGGCCCTGAGTGCGAGCCACTACCCCGGTCCGGCACCGGACTATGGCGGCCACCGCTGCCGGCCCGGCCGCCGCGGTACCGACACCGCCGGCACAGGCGCCGGTGCGGGCCGCCGCCGCCGCCGGTCCGGCCGCGCGGTACCGACACCGCCGGTCAGGACCACGGTCGAACCGCTGCCGCCGCCGCCGCCGCTCCCACCTTAGGCGTCGACGCCGGCCTCGAAGAAGGCCTTGTCGGCGGGCACTAGCTCGGTGTAGCGCAGCAGCGCCACCGAGATCTTGCTGGCGATCATGGTCAGCTGGTCAGCGCCGTACGCGGCCGACCGGGTGGCCAGCAGGTGGGCCACGAACAGCATGGTCTGGAACGCCTCGTGTCACCGCTGAGCCGGCCTCGGCCGAGTGGTTCATGTTGCCCACCTGCGGCGCAGGCGGCGCCGGCGTCAGCGTCACCTGTCTCGCTCAGCACGACCGCTGCACACTGGGCGCACGGGCCGCGGGGGAGTCACTGCAGCACGTGGACCGCAGGCGGCCATAGTGAGTCCAGGAACGGCACAGCACCTCCCTGACCTGTTCACCGTGACACGGCTGTGGCACCCGACGCGGCCTTCGACGAGAGAGGTTCGCGTGCCACCGAGACACATCATGTATACGTGTGTCAGCTCAGATGCGCGCTGCCTTACTAGCTGCCCATAATTGCCCGGGCAGAAGCAGCCGAGTTCTAACGTGACAGCGCACGAGCCCAGAGCCCAGACCAATCCGCGGCAGCCTCCGCTGAAAGCTGGCTCCACCAGCGCCACGCGGCCACACATATTATCCAAGATTCACGAACCGCGGGGGGGGGGGGTCATCCACAATCCAACGGTGTTCACTGGGCCTTCAGCCGCTGCTGATCGGCGTTCGCAATCACGCGAAGGCACACGACAAACTGAGCCGCGAGTGGGCCGTCCAAACCCATCGCTCGCCGAGCCGCGGACGACCGAGCACTAACGCCGGCGCCCACTGCGGCCGCGGCGCGGCGCCACTCACCAGGTCAAACAGAAACTCGCGGAGCTCCGACCACACCTTGTAGCTCTCGGCCGTGGCCAGCGCGTGCTGGCCGAACATGCTGACCGTGATGTACTTGTAGATGTTGTAGTTCTGCGGCTGGGCCGGCGCGCCGTTCTTGACGTACAGCTTGAGAGCCTCGACCGGCGAATTCTCCTGCGGTCACGCGTCGAGCGCAGGTGAAGACGACGAGCGGCCTCACGCGCTCCGAAGACCCCGGCACCCCTGACTCCCCGGCCACGCACGGCCACACCCTGCACCACTGATAGGGTGTGGGCAGCGATGGGCGGAACGTTCGGAACCTACCCTGATATTTCGGTACTCGCTCGGCGTGGAGGACAGACCATGCGACCGTGGCCCAGTGCCGCTGAGCACGAGTCCCACAGCGTGCAGTCAGGCCCTGCTGGCTGTAAGTCAGCTGACAACTGAGCAAAACAGGGCGACCTGGCAAAGGCCCGTCATGCTGTGGTATTGTGTAGCACAAACGGGATCCATCCGCAGGCCTGTTTGATAAAGCCGGAGAGAACATCTTGTTGATCGGCTGAAACGGCACCGCTCGGAAGGTGAATTCAGGGCATACGCCTCAAACGCACAACGTATACACCCAGCCGCGTTAGAACATAGGCAGCTCTGAGTCCAGCCACTTAACGAACCGTTGGGGGTGGTATTCTAAGTAGAGCAGTTATCTTTATGTCGTTATGCCGCCCGAGCCTGATTTTAAAATCATGCCGCAAGCCAACACGCACATGACGTCGGTCTGCAGCAGCCAAGAGAGAGGCGAGAGAATGAGCCAAGAACCCAATGATACCAGCGGATGAGACCCTGACAGCAACAGCAGCAGCAACAGCTGCCACGGGGTTGTCGTTGGCCCAGCGGTCGCAGCGTAGGGCGGCAGCACCAGGGGGGGGGGGGGGGGGGGCAAGTCGTTGGGGAGCCGCCGCACCTCTCGGCCGGCTCCTCACCTTGATCAGGTGCGCGGCGTATAGGGCCAGGTACTTGTGCAGCACCTGCGATCCGTGCTCCTTGGCCATCTCAATACACTTCTGCCACTGACCTGGCCGCAGCAGGGGAGGCTGGCGTCAGCGCGCCGCCCGCGCCGCCGCCACCCGACCGACGACAATAGGGCCCCCGCGACCACACTCACGCAGAAAGTCCGCAGCAAAGCGGCGATGCGAACAACGCCACAGTGCAGCCGACGCGTGGTCGTTTTCCAGACACTGTTAACAGTGATGAAAAAAACTACAGGTGCGGGGACGACCTGACAGAGGCATCACGACACGGACGATTCCCGCAACGGCACTGCAACCCGTGCGCCCGTGAGGTCACGTCGATGAGAGAGCATCCCCGCATCTGGTAACTGTTACGCACGTTAAAGAATGCTCATTTCACTTGTTTGAAGCCATCACTTCATGGATAACGCCATGACACCGGGCACGCTGATTTTCGTACTAACGCTAACACGTGAAACCTCCAGTGCATGAGCTCCAGCTGAGCCAGCGATGGTGTCCCTGCTTTGGACCAGCACCCACTGCTGTCCACCCGCTGTCACCTATCGAGCAGCCACCAACGGCGCCGATCATCGACACCACGTCACATAGGTTTGGGCGTGACTTTGAAAGCATCCTCCCGGACAAACGTATCCGGACCACGGGCGACATCGGCGACAGCAGCCGCCGGACGTACGCACCCTTCTGGACGAACATGTCCAGACCCTGGATGACGTCCACGCTAGCCAGGGCGTCCGCCTGGCCCTCGTTCTTGAGGAACTCCTTGTACTTCTCCTCCACGGCCTTCAGGAGGCTGTCGGCGGGGACGGGACGCCGTGAGACGAGCGTGCAGACGCCGCCGCGTCGCGGGTGTCGCCACGGGGGGAGGGGGCCAGCCGGGAATCTAACCTGTCCTCCACCCAGCCTTCAGAGTGGTGACCCCTAACGCCGATGCAGAATCGGAGGTTTTGGGGGGGGGGGTAGGAGGACGATGCCTCGAGCGTAGAAGGAGCGAACAATGGTTCCTTTAAGCAGCATGGTGTGCCTGTTCTAGAAAAGTAACAGTGAACAACTTTTAGCAATGCAACTCCCTTAAACTGGCGCGTACAGAAGGAAGGACAAAATGTGATAAAAGCGTACGCAGGAAATAGTTGCCCAGTTTGTGTTCCATTTGTTTCCAAGTTAGTCGCACTCCGTCCTTTTTGCCCCAAATGCCACTCGCTCAATCAATGGCGTCACGCATAACATGCTTATCCATGGCGCAGACAGCTCAAGATGCGAAGCGTATGCCGTTACTAAACTAGTCAGGCATTAGCACGTTCCTGATTCTAAAAAAGGAATGCTGCCTAGCGACATACACATCATCACTTTTGTGTTATCATCGCTCATGACGCCACGCTCAAAGACTGCGTTTTGTAGGCGGGCGGCGGTCTCTAAGCAGCTGGCCAGCACGCAGCCTCGACACACACAGGCTGGCGGATACCCCCTCCCCTCCTCGGGGGTCGCATTGGGGACGGCTGGTCGCTGCGTGACCCCCAGACGGCTGACCTGGGGTCCATCTCCTGCGCGATCTTCTTGGCCTTGTCCCACTCGGAGGCCAGCACCAGGGCCTTGATCGCCTCCTTGATGTTGTCCGAGCCGAGGAACACCTGGGCGGCCGCGTTGTTAGCGCCGATCTCCAGCAGACGTTTGCCTGCGGCGGCCGGCAGAGCCGCGTCAGGACCGGGCCGGCGCCACGGCTGCCAACACCGGACAGCGCTCCGGCAGGGCCGCGCTGCCTGGCTGCGCTGCCCGCCGCGCTGCCTGGCCGCGCTGCCCGGCCGCGCTGCCTGGCCGCGCCGCCCACTCCTGTGACGGCTCCGGGGCACAGCTCATGCCATTTGGCTTATAACCGATTACTTACTATTAGTTCTGCCAGACACAGGGCATGGATTCTAGCAGGGCTTACGGTTGTTACGAGTATGATGTACATTTACTGCAAGTGCTTTCATTAACTGCGTTTCACTGGTCTACTCTTCCCATTATGACTTACAACTAGGATTTTTAAGAAACTGATCAAGAAAATCAGCGATGGAAGGAAACCTCAATGCTCATATCATCTCTCAAAAGGCTATATGAAGCACATAGTCCCTACAATCTTCGCCACTGTCTTCTATCTTCGCGTCCATCTCGTATCTATCCTCCGTCTACGGTTGGCAGCAAGAAACCAAGCATGCGTCAGACATAAGTCGCCTGATGTGGCGGCGGCAGCGGCGGCGCGGCGGCGGCGGCGGCGCGCCTACCAAGCTCGGCGGCCAGCTTCGGCCCCTTGACGGCGCCGAGAAACTTGATGGCCAGCTCGGCGGCGCTGGTCCAGGCCCTCTCCACGATGGCGCGGTCCTGCGTCATGGACGGGTTGATCTGCCGGCCCGGAGGAGTGACGTTAGCCCTGGGGGCGCCAGACGGCGCTGGCCGGACCAGCTGCCCCGGGCGGAGGGCGGGCCGCACCGCCGACCGAGGCCGGCACACGCGCGGCCGCGTCCGCAGGGTCGGGCGGCGCCCTCTCCAGCCGTCCGCCGCCAGCTCACACAGCCATCACTGACTGGAGGTCAGCGCCCCCCCCCCCCCCGACCTGCGGCGACGACGAGGGCGTTCGAGCATCCCCATGATGCAGGCGGCCGCGAGCTAGCACCGAGCTGCGGGCACGCTACAGCACGCTGCTTAAGAGGCAATGCGAGATGAGGTCGGCGCGGACTGTTATGCAATCAGCATTTGCCGTGCGCGTGTGCTGCTGATGCAGGCCATGGCCGGGTTTTGAGAGGGAGAGGAACGTCATCTGCTAACGCGTCATCCCGGTGGTGTGGTGGTTAGAGCGCAGCTGAGTCCCGCAGCGAGCAGCCGCCGCAGTTGGTTCGGGACCCGGGTCCTGACTCAGCCGCCCGGTTAGCTCTTCAGGCGTCCAGCTTCCTCAGCAAGAGGAGAGAAAACCATCTAACGCGGCCGGCTGCGTCAGGACGCCGCTGGCGCCTGCGACATAAGCAGCACTATTCGGTTAACAGGCTGGAACAATATGATACTAAGATTGCGGCACCTCCCGTGGCGGAGGTGTCCCTGTAACACACCGTGCTGACAGGGACTCCGACCTTAGCGTCAACAGATCTCGCGATGAAACCAATTTTCAGAAGCCGTGTCCGGCACGCCCCTGGTGCGGAGCACTGGAGCAGCCAGGTGGACACCGTCTGGCAGTGAGGGAGACCGCTGACGCCGAAGTCAGTGCCGAGCCTGCCGCGGCGGCATGGCCCGTGTAACGCCGGAGCGTCGCACCTGGGCCCAGCTATCCGTGGGTTTAACCAATGGACCATCCTGCCAAAAGCCTGCTCGGACGGTGGACCCCGCGGCAGGACGCACCGCGGGCTCCGCTCTCCGGCTCATCCCTGGTCAGAGTACCGGAGGATCGTGTTGGCGTGCGCGCGCAAACAGGCCCATTTTGCTCGTTTTTCGTGGGCGCCGGAGGCAAGGACAGGGGCAAGCCCCCCCCCCCCCCCCCACCAACGTCAACAAAGCCCAGCATTTCCCCCTCTATGGCAACAACTTTGCGTTATCCCTATGGCGTTACACACTACAAATCGATTGGTAATACGTTTTACTCTCTTCCTCGCACACCTACCGCGTTTCCCCACCCTGGCCCCATCCCCATGGCTGTTCATGGCACGGGACGCCGGACAGAATTAATGACTCGTTGTCGGCTATCCGCGGCATATTTCGTGTTCCAGGAGGAAGTGCTGTGTCGAGGGTGTGTGCACGTGAGTGTCATCACACGGCCAGGCGCCCACCTTCATGTAGCAGTCGATAGCCTTGGCGACATCGTCCGTCTGCTCCCACTTGGCGGCCTGCTCCAGCAGCAGCTTGACGTCGCCGCTGGCCGTGCTGGTGCCGGTCTGCTTCATCACGTTCTTGTCGTACTCCTCCTGCAGCTCGTCCAGCTTGTGCGGCGCGTACTCGCGGCACACCCGCAGCGCCTCCTGCCACATGTTGGCCTCCTGGCGGCGGCCGGCGGCGGCGCGTCAATGGGCTGGTGCCGGCCCTCGGACCTCTCCCTCCGCCCCGACACCGGACGGGAGTCGAAGGCCGTCACATCGCCGACCACGCACGACACGGGCGTCCGACAGGACTACGCGTGCTTTTATCGAGAGCGACGCACGACGTGTGCAGAGCTCATCAGCGGACAGGACATCCGACAGGCGCTGACATCACAGTCGACTGCACCCGCCCAGCGCCAGCACCGTCGCCGCGCGGCGCTCACAGCGGACATCACCCACAGACCGCAGCGGCAATCCCACCGCCGCCGGGCAGCCGGGCAGCGGAGGCGCTGCGAGACTCCACTCACCAGGGGCCGGCACCGGCGGCCGGCGGCTCGTGCGGCGCGCGGTCCCGCCAGACGGCGCTCACCTTGTAAAGGCCGATGGCCATCTCCGAGCGGCCGGCGCGCAGCAGCAGCGACTCGAACTTGCTGTAGTTCTGCTCCTGGAACGCCTGGCGCGCCTGGCCCACCAGGATGTCGGGCACCGAGTCCGGGTCGTAGTTCTCCGCCACGCGCTGCGCCGCCGGCCACTGCTGGTTGTGCACGTACCTGGCGGCCGGCGGAGGGCGGTCAGCGGACGCCGGACTCAGCTGGCGCCGTCCCCCCCCCCCCGGGCAGCGGCAGCAGAAGCCCCTCAGCGCCCGAAGCGGCTCGCTGCCACACGCCCAGCAGCCCCGGCCGAGCGCATCGTGTCTGCGCGGTGCGTGATCCGCCCCCACTGCGACGCTCCGGTTCCGTCCGCGGCCCGTCGAAGGTGCACACCTCGCGTCCACGGAAACGCTCGCGGAATGTTAAGCTCACTGGCATTCACAGGGCTGGTGCGAACACACTTGAGGAATGATATTATCTACTGTTTGTCATAGAGTCGCGTGTGAGTTGGCAAAAACCTTCCAGCGCGCTTTAGAACATGTACTAACGAATGTCATGAGCGGAACAAAGGGGTAGGAGCACAGAGAACATCCTCCCATCTCCATACATTTGCCCATTGGGCCCTAAGTGTCCAAGTCCAACGGCCAAGCAATTTACGATCACCTCTCTGTCCAACCTCTCACACAGAGCATTCTCGGGCCACCGACCGGTCCGCCAGACCCAGCTGATCTACACTCGAGAGGCCGCAACACGGCAGTGACCCACGGCCGGCCGGGTCCGGTGTTCACAACAGGGGTGAGCTGGAATTGAAGGCTGGGACTCACATGAGCACAGCCTCACGCGGCTTGCCGGCCCGGATGAAGGCCTCCTCGGCGTCGGGGAACTTGCCGTCGTCCTCCAGCGCCATGGCTTGCTTGTAGTGGATCTCCTGGGTCTTACTCGCCTGGCTCCCCTTAGCCAGCTCGAACGCGAAGTCGAACTGAAGCCGATCGGTCAGCGTCAGGGGCGGCCGTAGGGGCGGCGGGAGGAGGACGGGCCGAAGCCAGCCACGCCCGACCGGCGTCACTCATGTCCGGCCGGCGCCACCCACGTCCGGCCGGCGCCAGCCACGTCCGGCCGACGTCACTCGAGTCTGCCCGGCACCACCCCAAGTCCGGCCGGCACCACCCACGTCCGGCCGGCGCCACCCACGTCCGGCCGGCACCACCCACGTCCGGCCGGCGCCAGCCACGTCCGGCCGGCACCACCCACGTCCGGCCGGCGCCACCCACGTCCGGCCGGCACCACCCACGTCCGGCCGGCACCACCCACGCCCCGGCCGGCACCACCCACGTCCGGCCGGCACCACCCACGTCCGCCCGGCACCACCCATGTCCGCCCGGCACCTCCCAAGTCCGGCCGGCGCCACCCCACGTCCGGCCGGCGCCAGCCACGCCCGGCCGGCACCACCCACGTTCGCCCGGCACCACCCAAGTCCGGCCGGCGCCACCCACGTCCGGCCGGCGCCAGCCCGTGCTCTGGCTAGCAGGACAGCTGTCCCCGACGCGGCCCCGCTTGGACGTCTGCCCCACAGCAGCACTGTGCATCAGCTCCTCCCATGACACGCACATCCCAGTCCAGCTAGGCGGCTGCGGCGCGGGCCCGTCCCCGGCCGCCGCGACGGAGGCGCCGCCCCTCACCTGGAGGCTCTCGCAGGCGTACTCGATGCACTGGTCCAGGTAGCCGAGCTTGCGCAGCAGCTTGACGGCCGACTCGCCGCCCATGGTGCGCGCCCACAGGTACGACACCTGCTTGGCCGCGTTGTTGCCGCCCGAGTTTTTGGCCACCTGGCGGCGCGGCGGCGGCCGGTCAGGGCGGCCGACGGGCGGCAGGCCGCACGCCGCGGACTCCGGCGGCCGCTAACGGACACGGGCCGACTGTGGGAGGCTCGCCTGGGTTCCGAGTCTGGAGAGGGCACACCGCTGGCCGGGGAAGGGGGGGGGGGGGGTCTCAGAAGACGCACACGAATGTAGCCTGAGAGTCGCCGACACAGCATAACCACCACCGTCGACGGCCGGCAACGGCACGCAGAAGCCGAGAAGTCGCTGCGAGACGATAGTGGTGCCACAGAGCGCGACCGAGCACCCTCCGCGGCCGGCTCCCACCGGCTGGCCGCGCCCCACTCACCCTGAAGGCATCCTCCCAGCTCTCCAGACCCCGCCACATGTTGACCGCCGCCTTCCAGTCGCCGCCGGCCACGTAGTGCTTCTCGGCCTCCTTGTAGTTGTTCTCGTTCTCCAGCTCGCCGCCCAGGTGCACGTGCGTCTGGTTGACCAGCTCCGGATGGTGCTCCGTCACCAGCCGCATCATCTGCGGGCACGACCGCCGTCCGACACGCAGCCTGTCCCGGCCGCCGCCGGTGCTCGGCCACGGCAGCGACGTGGCCGTGGCGGCGACGTCGGCGAACGCAGCGGCGCGAAACACGGTGAGGAGAGTGGGCGAGGCGTCATGAAGAACTCGCGCGTGGCGTAAAGTAACACTACACATCGACAACGCACGCGTCACAGCACTGGTCACAAGCTATGACTGTAAATGTGTCGTGGCTCACAAGATACTGTAGATATGGCTGTAGATGTGTAGATGAGTTGTGACCCGCAGCACCTCTCCCGCGGCGCACCAACGACACGATCTGGCGGGACGTCCCCGCGCCGACGGAACCGGCGCTGCCCTGCGCGGCGCCGCACTCACGTGATCGTACTGCCGCTGCTTCTTGTACATGGTGATGGCCAAGTCGGGCTCCTGCACGGTGATGTAGAGCTTCTCGGCGTCGCGGAACTTGCCCTGCTCCTCCAGCTGGGCCGCCTGCTGGATGTACATGTGGCTCACCTCCTCCGGCTGCATGTACTGGCGCGCGATCGAGTACGCCTTGTCCCACTTGCCTGCCGGGATAAGGCGCACAGGGGCCGCGGCCGTCAGGCGCTGCTGGGGCGCGCAGCGGGCCGGCTCAACGGTCGGTGACGCCTGCTGCGGACGGCGGCGGCAGCGGCGGCATCGTACCGCGCGCGCACCCTTCGCGGTCTACGCAGCCATGGTTCAAGCCGTTTGCTCGCGGGGCGCGCAAACCCGGTCACTGCAGCGTGGACCGTGGACATCACCCGCTGTCCACACTGTCCAATGGACAGGCCCGCTGATGCGTGCTTCCCACGGGCTGTATTGTTTTGCATTGATTAGCATTTCTGCGACTCAGCACTTCTGGCACTGCGTCCACGCACTTCTGCGACTAGAAATACACCCATCGCGATGATTTGGAGAGGTATGGCCAAGGATGGTCGACGGGGCTTCCGTCACCCACGGGCGCCACGCTCAGCTGGTTGTTGGGAGCAGACAAAGTTGCTGGGACCGATGCGCTGATGACTATGCATCCGCCGTCAGAGCGGCGGTCCGGCCGGCCGGCGCCGTCAGGCCGGCCGGCAGCGCCGCCGCCGGCTCGCCCACCTGCGTTGTTGTACATCTCGATGGCCTCCTTGAACATGCCGCCGTCCATGAAGAGCTTCTCGGCGGTGGCGTGGTCGCCGATCTGGGCGAAGTGGCCGCCCAGCTTGAGCAGGTAGGGCGAGATGTCCTGGTCGCCGCCGGCCGCCTGCGACCGAGGCCGCGTGCGGTCAGTGCTCAGTCGGCCCGGCTGTCGGGGGCCGCCGAGGGAGCGGAGCACCAAACGCTGGTGCGCAGGCCGGCAGCAAACTGCACGGGGGCAGGACGTGAAGGGCCGGCTGGCAGGCGGCGGGACGTGTCGTGTGGTTGCTCAATCAGAAACAACGAGATGACGTCTCGCCCTGACCCTGGCTCAAAACTCGCTGAGGATGGGACGTATGCAACGGATCCGCCGCCTACGTTTCAGGACGTTCGTGCGAGGATGACGTCACAGTTATCGACTTAAGGTTGTGGTCGTGGAGCGCAGCCGCCCATGAGCAAGCAATATTTACGAGGTGCGGACGATTCGAACCTGTTTCTTCTTCTTCTTCTTCTTTTTCTGCACAGCTCCAGGATTTTCGGACATGTACCCCTTCAGGAGCGCAGGAGAAGGATCGTGGAAAAGGAAAACGAGGTGAACACAAACACAAAAACAAACTTCACCATTATGAACGAGAAAACCCCAACACCAACATAGACTATCAATGTAAAAGCAGTGATACTATCCCCGAAAGCTGCAAAAGACTGAGGCCTGCCTGGCTCGTGTCACCCTCACCCCCCCGCCCACCTGTACTATCTGCATGGCCTTCTTCCACTGGCGCGCGTGCACAGCCGCGTCCAGCGCCTTGATGGTCTTGCCCGCCTCGATGTAGTGGTTGATGGCGGCGTCCAGCTCGCGCTTGGACACCAGGTGGTCGCCCCACTCCTCCTCCAGCTGCACCACCACTGCCGACAGACGTACACCGGCCAGTCCCGGGCGCTGGCACCCGCCCCGCGGCCGCGTCCACCCCAGACGCGCGGACCACCCCGACAACTCACTAGGCCGGGGCCGGCGGCGTGCGGGGCCGGCGGCGACTCGGGCCGCGGCCGGAGACCCACCTGCGGGGAAGTTGGAGCGGGCAAGCGCCACGCAGCGCGAGTAGGCGTTGCCCTTGCGGTAGCAGTCGAGCGCCGGCTCCAGCTCGTTGACGCGCTCGTACATCTCGCCGGCCTTCTCGAACAGCTCGGCTGTGATCAGCGCCTGCGCGATGCCGTTGATGAGGCCCACGTTGTTGGCCAGGTCGGGCGTGTTGAGCGTCACCCTGGGGGCCGGAGCGAGCGCGCTCAGCGGCCGGCGGCAGATGGGGCCGCCGCAGCAGGCGCGGCGGGGGCAGACAGAGCCGAGCGCACCGCCGCAGGCCGGCCCCCTCCGCGTGCCGCCAGCGGGGCGTCCGCGAACAGACCACGCGCTGCTCTCCCGTCGGTGGGAGTGGATGCGCCGGCGGGCGACGGTCGGCGTGCGTCACACCCCACCCGCCCGTCTGACCCGCGCCGACCCCATCCCCTGGCAGATCTGACCTGAGACGCCACTCCGGCGGGCGCCGGACAGCGCAGCGAGAGTGAGAGCAGCGACCCCTGAAGGCGCCCCACCTGGCGGCCTTGGCCGGCAAGCCGCTGCGCAGGTACAGCTGCACAGCGTGCAGGTAGTCGCCCTCCTGCTCCTTGAGCTCGCCGGCCTTCTCCTCCTGCCGGGTGGTCATCAGCCACTGGTGGTAGTTGGCGCGCAGCTGCGGCAGGTCTGGGTGCCGCCGAGTCTCGGCCACGTTCAGCGCTGCGGGACGGCGCGCCGTCAGAGGAGCGGCGTCCGCGGCGGGCGGCGCTACGCACCGACACGCCGCCGGCCGCCAGTGCGCGGCCGGGACGCCCCCACCAAGTCAGACCATGTGACAGGGCTTGGCTGCCAGGGCTCTTACTCGTCTACCAACCAAAGCCCGTCGTTAGACATCGTGTTTAGTCAGTGGCCTCGTTCCATCAGACTTGAGAAGACCGCTTACACCTGCGCACACACAGGCCACTGATCACCCGTCCACGCACCTTCCTCCCACTTGTTCATGTTCTGGTACATGCGGATGACGCTGTCCACCTGGTTGTTGTCCAGGTAGATGGCCTCGGCGTCCTTGAACTGTCGGTTTGAAGACGGCCATGCGCGCCTTCACCTCATAAAAGTCCATTCCGTCACCATGACCTGCACAAGGAGAAATGATCAAAGCATGACCACCTCAACGTCAAAGTAGCGTGGCCGGCCAACATACATGAAAGAAGGAAATGACGGCGATCATCCCAACGCCATTAGAAATAACGAAGCAGCCAGAGCAGTGCCTGCTGCATCACCTGACTCAAACGATCCATCTTGGGGTGCGGCTGTTCTCTGTAGCGGGGAAGGTTCTTCTACAAACGGGAGAAAGCCAACAACGAGACTGGCGGTCTCCACGACACGGTGTCCAAGGGAGGTTACCACATACATCCCACTGCGGCGTCTAGCGTAGGGTGACAGTAATCGCACCGGTCCGTTCATGAACTACGCTAGGAACTGTCGTCATCATCACGCATGAGAATCGCGGCAGCTCGGCTATGAGATTCGACAGGCCGTAATTTGGCTACTTGATCTAACACCGCACACGAAATGCCCGTCACAGAGTTCATGCAGGCGGCGGTACGCTGGGGCGAGTCTGAGTCTGTCGGGCGAGGCGCGCTGGGCGGCCGGTCCAATGCCAGAGACGGGCGCCCCGCCGCCCGGCCCTCACCGAGCTTCTGCGCCACCTGCTCGGCCAGCATGATGATCTCCCGCAGGTACTTGGCCTTGGAGACGTCCCCGAGCGCGGCGAAACACCGCTCGGCTGGCGGCGCCGGCGGCCGTGTTAGCGGAGCTCGACAGGCGGCAGAGGAGGCGGCCCGTTCACAGCCGGCACCGGCGCGCGGTCTACAGGTGGCAGCACCGGCGCAGCGCGGAGCGACACACCAGACAGCTCGGTGGCGGACGAACACCAGTGATGTTGAGCCTTCCGACTACATCAGGTATGACATGGGAAGAAGCCACGGCAACACGCGCCAGCGTTCAGTGAGCCGTCTTCCGAGGAAAGAGCGGCGCTGGGCTGGCGTATTGCTGGGGCAGGCCTCTCCAGTGGCAGCCCCGGAAGGTTACAGCAACCACTGTACACAACAGCCAACAAAACCCCGCAGAACAAGTGGTGCTTGCCAAACACACAGCGAACACGTATGGCTGCTTCGCGACCAACTCACGGCATCCCAACGCCTGAACCATCGCCGTACCGAAGTCGTGCTATCAGGGCGGCGCGCCCGACAACACGGCGACCGCAGGCCGACTGGTGGGCGCCGGGGACCGTGCGGCGGGACCGACCTATGTGCAGCTGCTCGCTCTCGACGGCCAGCCGGCCGAGGGTGCGCCACATGGCCTCGGCCTCGGGCGTCAGCTCCAGCGACTCGAGGAAGTTCATGGCGCGCAGCAGGTCGCCGTCGTCGATGGCCGTCCCGAACTCGATCAGGCCCTCGTCCAGCGTGTACGAGTACTCCTGGCGGCTGTCCTGCACGATCACCTGCGGGGCGGCGCGCGCGACGGCGTCACGGGACGGGCGGCGCTGGATCACACCAGGATATCGGCATACCCCCGCTCGCTCTGACCAGAGCGCGGTACGAGGGGATTGGGATCGACCGTCCGCTCGAGGGGATTGTCCGAGCGGGACAGTCGCAGCAGCCCGGCCCCCGTGGTCCTCCCGGCCTCAGCTCTAGACCTGTGTTCAAAACGGATGCCGCAGCGCTCCGGCGCGGGACGGCCGGCCACTCGCCTCGGTCTTGTTGTCGCTGCGGTCGATGTCGATGATGTCGCCCTTGATGGGGAACATGGTGACCCTCTCCGGGGCGTCGATGTTGTACCAGATGCAGAGGTTGGACTGGCTCTGCGCCACCACCACGTCGCTGCCGGGCACCCACTGCGGACGGCGGCCGGCGGGTCAGCGCGGCCTGGGGTGAGCAGCCACGGGCGCCTTCATCATGACAACGGCCAACATCACCCAGTCGGCGCCACGCGCCGGCAGCGCACCACTCCGCTGACACTCTCACCGACTGATCCTCGGCACCACACGCGTGGTCCAGCGCCCCCCTCCCCCCCCCCAAATGCGTCACATTCCGAATAAGGGGTCCCGCACTCGGACAAGCCGCAATCGCGCCAGGAGACACGCGAGTGCCTGCCGCACGCACGTGTCAGTGGCGCGAGCTCACCGCGCCCGTAACCGCTCACGGGCGTCGTTCGCGGCGCGGCGGCCTCACGTCCCGCCGCGTGCCTGGGACGGCACACTCGCCTGGACGAACGTGCAGTAGTTGAGGATGACCGTGTTGGTCTTGGTCTCGATGTCGACCAGCTGCAGCCGCTGCCGCTTGTCGCGGAAGAGCAGCTTATGGCCGGTCTCGTTCAGCTCCAGCCAGTCGATCTTGGTGTCGTGTGACACCACGCCCAGGTTGACGCCGTACACCAGGTCGACTGCGGACGGTGGCAGCTCAGGCGCGCGCCGCACCGCCGGCGGCGCGCGCCGGCTCGCTCCGCCTCACGGAACGCCCCACACACATCGCGCGCAGAGGCAGGCGGAGCCCGACACTGCACGGGGCGAGCGAGTGGACGTCTGTCACTCTCCGCCCCTCTGGCACCGGGGAGCCGCCACGTGCAAATGCGACACAAATCTCTCTGCAGATATCACAAGCAGGAAGGGCTGTACGGGGAGGGGGTTCCAATGTCCGATTGACGGGCTGACCAGGGGCGGCCTCGGAAGGAGGGGGGGGGGGGGGGGGGGGGGGGGGGGGGAGGGGCGTTCCCGTTGTTGACTCGTGGCTGCCTCGCGTTCCACGGGCCACCCCGAACCCCACTCACTGATGGTGATGGTCTTCAGGTCCACCAGATAGGCCATCTTCTTGTTGTCCTCGACACCCTTCTGACTGCGCTCGTTGATGCGGGACGCTGATCAAGTGCGGGTTCATGAACTCGGTCCTGGCGGCGGTCGTGGACCGGTCACGCGCCGACCCAAGCTAGGTCACGCACAGGTCACACACACACACACACACACACACACACACACACACACACACACACACACACACACACCCACACACACACACACACACCCACACCCACACACGCACACACCTACACACGCACACACACAGGCATACGTACACGCATACGCACACCCACACACGCACGCGCACGCGCACACGCTCCCACCCCCCACACACCTATATATCCACCCACACCCACACCCACACCCACACCCACACCCACACCCACACCCGCACCCACACCCACACAGCTATCGCCACAGCTCGATGAGTAAACAGCTGAGGTCGCCGCCCAACGCGACCCATCATTGGTGCCGGATGTCACAGCTCAGCAGGGAACCGGCTGGCGATATCTACGTCGAATTGGCAACGTGGGACACCTAAATACACCTGGATACGGAAAGTCGTCCACAGGCAGAGTATGGGTGTTCAATCAAACGCACCAACGCAAAGGGCCCTTGTTATGACCGCGCCCAGACAGCTACCTAACGTCGTCGGGACCAACCCGTCCCTAACCGTAACCAATCCGTCACCAACCATGACCAATCCACCTCCATGACTAATCCGTCCCTGTGACCAATCCATCCTTGATCGTGACCAATCCGTCCCTTACCGTGACAAATCTGTTCCTCATTGTAACCAATCCATCCCTGACCGTGGCCAATCCATCCCTGAGCGCGTCACCACGTCAAGTTCCCCTCATACAGATTCCTTAGAACGCTCACCTGACGGAGCCCAGCAGCTCGTTGTTGCCGTACTCGATGATGCTCAGCTCGCCGGCGTTGAAGATCATGCAGCAGTTGGCATTCTCGAAGAAGAACTTCTCGTTGCCGCTGGTATCCATCCAGGGCACCTCGGAGAGCAGGTTGCGCGAGAGGTCGCCCACCAGCAGCGTTTCGGTGGTGCGCGCCACCAGGTACCGCTCCTTACCTGCGAGGGAGGACGAGTCACGGGACGGCCGACGGAGGCGCCGCACCGACGCCTGCCTGCACAACGACGCGCGACACGGCGACGCGCCACACCACGGACCACCGCCGCCGACCCCCCAGCCCGCGGCAGAAGGGAGCCCGCCGGCACGCCGCCGCCAGACTCGGCCGGGCGGCGCGGCGCGGCCCGGCTGCGGCCAGCGCCGCGCGGGCTTGGGGCGCTCGCCGCCGGCGCCGAAGACGGCGCGCCGCCCGCCCGCCAACGCACCCATGAACTTGACGTCCTCGATCTCGTAGCCGTACTGGGACTTGAGGATGACGCCGCGACCGCCGCCCTTGAGCGGCTTGATGAGCACCTGGGACGGGCCGACGTACGTCATCTCCCACCGGTCGTTCCACACGGCCGCGCCTGCGGACCGGCGCAGGGTCACTCACAAGCCGGCACCGGTGAGCATTCGGAACGAAATCAGGACCGCCTGGCTGCTCCCCGAGTGTGCTTGCTTTCTAAAGCAGAAATTCGCACAGTGTCAAGGGGACGGCAAGCAGCACGGACCCCAAGCACACCGACGTCAGTGACAAGCACGGAGCCAAGCACACACGGCGTCAGGGACAAGCACGGAGCCAAGCACACCAGCGGTCAGTGACAAGCACGGAGCCACGCACACCGACGTCAGTGACAGGCACGGAGCCAAGCACACCGACGTCGCAGTGACAAAGCACGGAGCCAAGCCACCCGACGTTAGGTGGCAAGCACGGAGCCAAGCACGCCGACGTCAGTGACAAGCACGGAGCCAAAACACGCGACGTCAGTGACGAGCCGCAGCCGTGTGGTACGTGGCCTGAGCCTGTTACCGGCTCGCAAAATGTACGAGGTATTCTACTTCGTGAGTGCCAGAATACCGCCCCTGCCGTGGCTTGGTCTGCATTTCGCCCAGGAGAGGGCCAAATCGGGGCAAAGGGGCTCTCTTTCAGACAAAGGGCTCTCTTCGTTGCCTATTGAGGCCTCGTTTTGGAAACTTTTTAGGCTCAGGCGTACCGTTTTAAAACACCTACAGGGCCCGTCGTTCCCGCAAGGGGTTTCTTAAACCGACGGAATTGCCGAGTCCTCCGGTCCGTAGGGCAC